TGTTAACACACAACATATATTTCATCTCAACAAAGCCAAAAAGGCATGATTTTAGTAGTGAGAAATCTGCCCTTTGGACTTCTGTGTCTTATGAATAGATTAGCATTAAAATTATTTTTAAGACACCAGAGGTTTGACAACTGTTCCAATAAATATCCAGAACAGAATTTACACCAAAGCAGTAAGAATAGCTGCAGAATTCAGTGATATATTTTTTTTGTAATAATAATTTAAAGCAATATGATTTTAGAGGTGTTTTTCCCCCAAAATGGAGTGAATTGCATCTAATATTTACATACACACAAATAGCTGGCACAAAGGAAAAATTTTTCCAAAGGGAGCCAATGCTAAGCGAGCCTCAAAGCTCTTTTAAGTTCATTTGTGTAAACCTGAAATGCAAACGTACACATCTTTACACATAAGCATTTATAAACAGGAGGGGAGAAGTATTTGTTCACACTGCATTTTCCTTTGGAGCAAACATTCTCCAGAAGGAAAGCTGGAGAGAGAACAAGAAGGTGTGCCTTGATGATGCTCATGGAACAAGGGCTCTGGAAACCAGGCACACAACAAGCAAGACCATGGTGTAGGCACAAACTCTGCGAATCAGGACAGACTAAGCAAGGATAAGTCAAAAGATTTTGAACTCAGAGCTCCAAGAGAATGGAGAAGGATGAATTTTGACCCACAGCAGACTCAGAACCCACGTATTTGCAGAAGTAAGATACTACTCCGGTAAATTTTCCCAAAGCATTTTATAGAATCACTGTCAAATAATTTAACTAATCAATTTCACATTATTTAGTCAATACAAGATGATAAATAATGTTCTGTCATTTAGGGAAATACTTTCTTTTTTTTGAAGTTACAGGTAGAAAAATATAACAACACTAAGAAAGCAAGAAAACATGCACTGTTCTACCACTGAAAAACAAACAAACAAAACCCCACCAACAACACAGCTCTTAAACCAGAAGAGCGAAAATTCAGCTCCAGTTAAAATCTAGGAGTAGCAAATGCCTTTGGAGAAAAGTAAAAGTCCTCTATGAAATTACTGATGCTACATGTCAGTTAAGACAATCTACAAATAAAGGCTTCAGCTATGGAACCTCTAGAGAACTGCTGCTGCAGAAATAAAATGCAGGTATTTAACAATGGTGAAATTTAAGAAGTTTGGCTAAGTTGAGCAAATACTGCCATTAACTGAGATAAGAGTGTTTTATTTAAGTGAGAAAGTATAATATAAAGTTATTAGTTAAGCATCTGCTTTTCTGTAAGTCTGATTGGGTCGATGAAACAGCAGTGCTTTTTTAAGCAAAGAGAGCAAACAAAACAAAACAAAACAAACGCATGCAAGCCAAGTAATATTGTAATAGGCAAACCCTAGACTGCTGCATCTAAACCACACTTCAGAGATATTTGATGACAGGGGTTTCATCTCCAGATAAAGTAAACAGGGGACCCATAAATGGATCGCCATTAACTGATGTCTTAATATTAAATTCAGGAAGGTCATGCCTGTCAACACAAGCATTCAGAATAATTAATGAAAATTTGTTTAATTGCATATGGAGTCCGGATCATTGGAAAACAACAAAATAATCAGAAGCATATCCAATGTAAAAAGTGCCTTAGTCATTTTTCATTGTTGATTAGGGTAGCTATCATGCACAGTGTCTAAATGTCCAAATGATAGCTCAGGTTTTCATCTTTAATCTCCCTTTCACAACATTCCTTCAGCCAAATTTCATTAACACTGGATCTTTGTAGCACCATTTTCTTCCCTGAATATACCTATCAGTCTGCGTATCTCCATAATCAACTACAAGTTATTATGTTTTGAGAAAATTTAAGAGAACTGTTTAGTTCCCTCAGTTTTATTCTTCATCCATTCTGTTTTGTCACCATTCTAGAACTCTAAAAACACAGGATAGGATGTCCAAAATACTGAAAATTCCTACAAGAAATTACATGTGCACTTTAATTTCTTTCACTAAAGGCAGTCTTCCACGTGCACTACTATTTTCTATGTAATTATTCCAGTATTCAGAATGTATGCATCCTGTGCATTTGAGTAAGAAAATAAGAATATTCCATAAGACTTCAATTTTCCAAATGGGTAACATAAGATATGACAAAGAAAGACTCTTCATACTGAGAATACAAACAAAAAAAGAAATGTGGAAAAATAGCTTATAACCCTATGGAATAGCACTAATTGTAATTTTACAGCATCTTAGTATTTGTTCTAAGACATACCAATCTGTACTAGCTAATGACCCACAGTTTTGAACAGATTATTCTTCAGCAGCGACGCACACTAGGGACTCTGCAGATGAAGCAATTTTTTATTTTAATATCAAATGGCCTTCTGTAAAGAAATTATTTTAATAACAGGATTACTTTCTGCTATTACTATTTCTTGAAGCAACAGGCTGAAATTATATGAAAACATTTCCATAAACTGCCTTTAATACATACTAAAATACTAGTGTAAACCAATCCCTAAAACAAAGGCTTCCTCAAGGACTAAGCTGTGAAAAAAGGCAAGGATTACCAGTATCTGAGCTGCACAGGACATTAATACTTTGTAGACATATTTTCATAGTTATACAAGTCAAGCCCATGGGCAATATATCTGGAATGTGGATTAAAGGCACAATAAATGCAAAGACTCCCATTTGGCTCTCTGCATGGTCAGTTTAGGTTGGCTGAGTTTACTTTTTTAGGCTGGGCAGCTTTTGAGTGTGCTGTACTGCTCTGAGAATAAGCCTGGATCTCCCAACACCATTTTCTGTAACCTCGCACCCTGAGAACGCCTGCATCGCATTACCCAAGTGCTTGTGCATACAGCCAGCCAATGTTAATAAGCCAAATATTCCCACCCATTTCTTAATACTTGCATGCCATACTGACTGCAAGCTTACTTTGTTTTCACACCATGCCCTGCCTGAGCTAGTAAACCCTTGAAGTACAAACTCCACAGATGAGAGACACCTGAAGGTTGTTTGTTTTGTTTTGTTTTTTTTAATAGGAGTCAGCTTAGTTCTGGCTGAATTGTGCTGAATCCTGACTGACTCCATGTGGAGCCACTTGGTAATTCTCATAAGACACCCAATTCCCCATATTTTCCAGGCTTTTCATTATCTAGGATACTCCCTTCTATTACTAAAGATAACAAACCTAACAAAATAAAGAATGCAAGGCAAACTTTAGAAGACAGTCTACACTGCTTGTTTATTTAGTATCAAAACTTTATCTCAGCACATGGAAGGGAGAATTCTTTCCATTGCACTGCTAAAACAAAACTTCTTTTGCCCATATCTATACACAAAACCAGTATTTTAACTTCTCCAGTCTGAAAACAAAAATTCTTACCTCCTGTTTTTGAAAGCGTACATTTCATCCACACAACTGATGCTTTCTAACTTGTACACGTGAACACTGCACTCTTTCACTAGTCTAAAGCGCCATGCACAGATGAGCATAACAGTCCTCCTCTTATCATGTCTACATTCATTGTAATTGCACTTTTTCTGATCAAGTTAAAGCAGGTTAAAAATCTATTCATTTGTTCTAAGTGAATAAAAACTAAAGTCATTCCACTTAGCACAGATTACAATTGCTTAAATGCTACTGTATGTAAAGAACATCTTTTAGAAATAAAAATCAAGCTATTGAAATGAATGTGTCACACAAATTCTTCCTGTTACTGAGACACTATTGACTATGATGTAAGAAATTACATTATTAATTACCTCAAGATAGTGCCCACAACAAAATGGAAGATTGTGATCTGAATGCTGTGAGTAGTATAGGTTAAAACCATTTCCACTAATATCTGGGATTCTTGATTTTAGTTTTGAAACCAGAAATACTGAAGACAAACAGAAGGTTATAGTATCAATCCCCATTGATGATGACTTTAAAACCTCAAAAAATGGTTGTAATTTCACAAATGTTCCAACCTATTAAAAATATTCAGTCCTATGAAAAAAAGTATGATTTTGGAGGTTTGGAATTTTACTTGGGAAAGATTTGTTTGCATGAAGAGCCACAGTACCTCTTTGCAAGAGTACAAGGAAATGGGGCACCTAACATTTAGGGGTTTATTTCAGTGTGAATAGCAAATACTTTCTATACCTCATCCTCGCTGCTGGGTGTAGAGGCAAGAGACCCTGTGGGACATGGCTTTTTCACACAAGACAAAGCAATGAAAGGATACCCAATGATACCAGATGCACATCTTTAGACAACTGAGTTTCATGGAGTTAAGACTGATCTATAACCAGTTATGATCAGAGAAAAGAAAGTGTTTTGCCGTTCTCTATTTGATGATGTATGGCATTTCTCCTACTTTGAAATACTAGCATGAGAATACTGGAGAAATAAAATACAAGGACGCATTTCAAACCAGAAATAACAACACTGAAGAGGTTCAACACATCAATCCAATCAGGTTGTAGTCTGTTAGAAAAAAAAGTCACCCCTGCAATGAACGTGAGAGAACTGGTGAGGGAAGATGAAACTATTGACTCTTTGGCTGACCAGAACTACAAGCTTGAACAAAGGATCACAGTACAAATAAAAAAAAAAAAACTATGAAATTTCCAATACTAGCCAGCTTCTGAAGGATCAACTAGAAGTTTTAATTTAGCTTTTATAAATAAATTCTTTAGCTTAACAAACTCTTACTGTTATCTAAGATTATTCTAAGACCTTGGTGGCAAGTCTTGGCTGACAGACAGGCAAGGGTTATGGAGAAGAATAAAAGTACATGCATTTAACAGTCAGTCTGCAAGAACAGCTGCTAAAAAGAAACTTGGCCACGAACTTCAGCAAATGTTGGGTAACTAGGCAGCAAAAAAATTAATCTCTGGAGTCAGTTTTGTTGTTAGAACATGCTTTGTCCTTTGTACAAGTGAATTCACTTTCCCGAGAAAATACAAACCATCTACCCAATTTACTGTGTGTTTCTTTTTCATTTAAAATGAACTTACCGAGTGCCGTCTGCTTTCCAGCTAACTTTGTATGGCTTCTGCTCCAAAAATTTAATATTTTGCTTGTCCATAGAAACAGGCTGTGCTCCAGGGAATCCAGACCTAAAAAAAAAAACAAAAACAAAAACCGAACCATGTTTATTAATGTTCTGCAATAAATAGTCACACAAGGCAATGCATTTTTTACATTAGACTGAAGTCACATGTTGTACCAGACTTGCTGCAAGGTTAACTTTGAGTTAGAACATCTTCTCCAATAAGGTATTTTGCAAGAGGAATCAAATGCCTATCTGATAAGAAGAAGGGTATTTGTTTATGACAAAACACTAAATTATGTGGAACTTCAAATTTTTAACTTTGGAGGAAGAGATATTTGAATTCAAAATTACAAGCACTAGAAGAACTATAAGCATCAGCAAGTTAGGAAGCACTGTAAGCAACTCCCTGGATCATGAGCTTTGGAAAGGAGGAGTTCAGAATCTGAGACATTAAAATCAATGTTCTCATTAACATTGGACATAAATCCAAGTTGGCTATAAAAACAAGTATTATACCCCAATACTGAAGTGTCATAGCAACTGTATAAATAAGTCTATGGCTTAAGCAAGCACTGAATTTTACACAAATACCTGGACTAGACTACATCTGGAATTTGAACAGCAACAACTCATCTGAAAACATATTGTTAACTCAATGGAAAAGCAGTTCTAGAATCTTGTTTCTTAATATCAACAGTTGATCATTCCGTTTCATAGTACAATGCAAGATCCCCATCTGCTTCACTTTCAAGTGTTTTTGAGGCTTGCTTTTTTTTTTAAACAATTCATCCAAAAATAGTCACCTTTTTTCTTTTTATAATGAGTTGTTTCCTTCTGCAAAACTAGAAACATAACACTTACTTCTAGACAGTATAAATAAACAAGTTCTAAATGTTCTCATACCCTTCCCATCCACAGAACTGCTGACATTTTTGCTGTATTCCTCCTAACTTTGGTTGTGTTGTCACCTGGGTCACACATTTAACTGTTATTCCTTCCAAGAAAATTGCACCCTAAATAAAAAAAAAAAAATTAAAAATTAGTATTTAAGCCCTCATAAAAGCAGATCAGAACATGACAATACAAGATTGTCTGGTTTTACAACTTGACCCTCAAGAGCAATACTAGCTTAAATATTCCTTAAAGATTTACCCCCAAATACCACGATACATCAGCTCAGCTTTGTCAGCAAACTCACTGATGAGCCATAGTATGAACCCAGGAACTGAAATGAGCTATTTAGGGCGGGAAAAATAAAAAAATAAAAATAAAAAAAAAATTTAAAAGGAGGTGAATGGTAAGGGATAGGCACTGTTTAGCTAGTACTCTCAAGAAAATTCCCACGTCAAGCTACAGCATCAGTTTGAGTCATTATTTTTCATTTGTAACTAAATTTTTTTTTATTTAGAAAGAAAGTACATCAGTATCAAGTATTTAATAGTAAATTGGTCACATATGGAATTTGCAGGGATCAAACTAATCATCCTTAGTACACAAAATATTATACAATAATAAGGAAGTGTAAGACATCTATTTGTGAATGAGAATCTGAACCTAAACAGTATTGTAAGCCTGGAGCAAATCACTGTGCATTAAAGGTCACAAAACTCTTTGTGACACCATATTTAAGTGTGCCAAAAAGTATGGCCTCAAAATAAGTAAACTGGAAACTAAGGGCAAAATTGACCTATGAAATGTTAAATAAAAATTTTAATACATATATAGTATTTCTAGACCAACAGTTCCATGCTTTCCTTGATTCATGGAAAGTAAGAGCTGTTCACTAACAGTAGAGATCTAACGTGTGAGATAAAACAAGTAGCTTGGTAATTAGTGAACTACAGTCACTAGGAAACATCATTAGGCACAAGCTTTTTGGTGTTGTTTTTTTTTAAACAAAAATCTCAGCAGATGAAGACATCAAGTCCTACTTTTCTCCCTCCAAATCTTTGAGATGTAGGTTTTCTATTAAATATGTTAATTTTATCAGGCCTAGATGGTAATTCCCGTACAAGAAGTTCAATTACATGGATTTCACCTCCACCTAGGTGATCTACCATGTTATACGTCTCAAAACTTAAACTTACACTGCAGGGAAAACAATTGAAAGAATGAACGTACTTATGCAGCAGCGGACTGCAAGGGTTCTCAGTTGATCTAGGACAAACTTCTTAACAAAAGAGAAAACACAAACAGCTGGTTTGTAACAAAATATTTGTGTAAAAATATACTTGCATAATTTTATTCTCAATCTAAAACAGTTTACCAAAGCGGAGGTGCTACCCTGAATGCTACAGAAAAGCCTGTAGAGATAAGTAAACCAATACTGAAAATAAAACTCTAAAATAACTTGTATATTCCAGAAAAAATTTGATGTCAAGCGGAATAAAAACGAATTCCGCACAACAGAACACATTAAAGCCATCAGGTCTACAAAGCTACATAATTAAAGATTTCTATAGAGATCCCAAATCGACCAGACTTATTTCAACAGCGTCTCAAATAATTTCTCAATGCAGACTAATAAGATCAAAGCATGAAGTTTCATCTGTTGAGCTATGAATCCTGCAAATGAAGATAAAAGTGTTTCATATCTGTTCTCTAAAATGCTTGAAACTTGCCTTAACAAATCTAGCTGCATACTACCGATGAAAGGAGCCTTTTCGCTCCCTTCCCTTTCCACACACCATGGCACTCAACTGCTCTACTCTCGAGCAAGTCTAGGAACTAAGTTGGCAAAAATAACAACATAAATTAGTAATTTTCTGCCAAATTAGCATCCTAAACTAGCTCACCATAGGCTAAGTCAGCACTAGTGCCAGCACAAGGGAAGCAGAAGGAACACAAGGAGTGCAGGGAAAGCAGGACTGCAGTTTTCAGTACAGCCTGCATTTAGTTAAGATTGGCTCAGTTGCATCGCCAAATCGTGTGCCGAGAACAGTACATCCTAAAGAAATACACTAGTTCATAACCTTAACTACCTCAAGCTCCACAGACTTTTGGTGCAGCACTTATCCCATATTACTTATGTGGGCACCAGCAGGTGCAACAGCACACAGGTGACTGGGCAAGGGAGGCAGACAGCTACACATGCCTGGCCAGCATGTTGTCTGAATACCAAGTAAGTGGTTAAGAGCACCATGAAATAAAGGAAAATGGTTTTGCCTTGCTTCTCAGGATAATGGCAGAGTGTGATGGCAGTACAACTGCTAAGATTAAAGCAGAAGGCAGGCAACAGGAAAGATTTTCCAGAAAAGAAGGTCATAAACATTAATTTGGTGCCTGCCATTTGAAAGTGTCTCTTGCGGATTATCTGCCTCAAGTATACTCACTAGCTAAGGCACAGTACTATGAAAACAAGGCAAGTCACTTGGGCATCCATGCTTGGCTAACTCAACGCTCCAAGTTTCATGAGGACACTTCCTTGGATAAGGTGGCAAAACTGAGCCAGATCCATGCCCTTTCTACACCACTGTTGAGCTAACAACCCCACCATGGAAACAGGACACTAGAGAACACAGGGCCGAGATGCTGGAGCACTCGGCTCAGCAGGAGCACCTCAGGTCCTCAACACTGTTACTAAAGCAAGAGTTAGAAGCCCTAATGGATCCAAGGTAACTACATGCACTTAGTATCTACACTCTGCACAATCTTCACGCCACCTGTACTAAGCAAGCTCTCCCCACTTGCCACTGTATCCCTCCCCCCATCACTTCGGCTGAAGGAGAAGCGGCAATGTGTATTATCTTGTGTTGGTTCAGATCCTGAACACCATCTGGAGGAGTCGGTGAGTGGGAACAGCCCCAAACACACACCTCCCTGACCCTAGCAGCTATCACCAGGCCTGGGCGATAGCCATCTTCAGCTACTCAGACTTGACTGAGTGCTAATATGCTCAAAGACTGCCTTCCAGAGGGCAAGAAACGTTCCAAAACGTGTCAGGAAGAGAGAGAGTCCGCATCTTCTAAAAGAGAGGAAGGGAAAGCCAGGGAGTTAAACTGATCAGCTTAGATTTAATACCTAGATATATACAGGACCAAATCACAAGAACTGCCTCTAGGCATGTACAAGCAAAAAAGATACTACAAAATCATACTGACTGTCACTCAGTAACAACGGTGTTCAGCTAATCATTTGGATTTGGTGATGAAACAGGCTTCACGGAATTGGGAAAAGCAGGAAATATCACATCTTTCAATGCTGGCTTTTGTCTTGGCTTGTCTTTTGTTTGCTTGTCTTGTTCTTATAAAGGAACTCAGAAAACATGGGGTAGATGTAACTTCTACAAAACAGAAGAGCGACCTGTTTCAAAACCAGGTCCAGAGGAGTTAGTGTTTCACTAACAAAATGGAAGAATATATTGAGGAGGACCTGCGGGGTCTGGTTTAGGTATAAGAGAATTAATTTATTCTCCCTAAATTTCCTATTAGCATATTCTTATTTTGGTGACATCTGTGAATTTAGTAACAGAGATACAAACTGTGATGTAGAATTCAGTGTTATCCTTAATTTTAAGAATGGGCTGGAAAAAATACTGTGCAATTCAGTATAAAAAAAAGTTCTACACTTAATAAGGAATAAGCAATTATACAAACACACACTGGTAGATAATTAGAGGAAAAGATACGGAGGCAGCAAGAGACCAAAAGCTGAATTAGTATTATTCTGTCTTGTAAAACTCAATTATATTGAGATATATAAACAGAAGTATTAGCCTTAAGACATGTGAAATTAATTCCTCCCTATTAAGCACTAGGATGGCCTCAGCTAGAGGCTTGTGTTCAAGTACAGGCACCATAGTGTCAGAAAAACATGAGTCAACATGACAGAATACAAAGAATGACAAGAATTGTCAGAAGTATAGAAAATATGGACTACAGGGAAAAAGTGAACAAATTAGCATTTAATGTGGAGAAAGAGAAAGCTAAAACGAAATGACACCTGTATTCAAGTACATAAAATGCTGCTGCAAAATCAGAAAATATCTTTTTCTTGTATCCACCAAGATGCCCATGGGCAGAACAATAAGTACAGGAGTTAGGCAGAAAAACACAAAGTCACTAATATTCGGAATCAATGTACTTTGATAGTTAAATAATGAATATTACCCTTGCTAACTATGTCAGCCATGAGGTTTAATGGTTTCCCTCTGTCTCACAGATGACCACAAGACACTTGCACTCAAAATCACAGAGAAAATCATAAACAGCCAGCATCTCTTCCAGACTGTTTGAGATGTAACCATCCATTTTAGAAGCAGTACGCATTACATCCTGTAATGCCTGTGAAATATGCAGCTTACATGGGACTAAAACAGATGGCATTCCTTAATAAACAGTAAAAGATCCAACTGACCCATGAAAAGTTTGAAGGTTCTGGCTCAGAATTGTAACTTCTTGTCCTATTTGCAAAATCAAGTCTTTCTTTCCTGAAGATTTTTTTTCCTGAAGTGAGATTCTAAGTGTCAATTAATAATGTTTCTTCGATGCTACAGTTATCATGGCAAAGTCAAAACATGTTTGGATTTCCTGTGTAGCATCTGAGAGTACAGCAAACAGATTTGCTGTTACCTGTCAACTACATTTGGGTGATGACAAAGAAAACTGTAATGGCATTATGTTCTAACGGTTCCCACAGTTTCTGTAGTATAGAAAAGAAAGGCTGTCAAGACTTTTTGACATCAAAATACAGAAGTTTTAGTGAAAGGTGTTGCAGTGAAGTTTCTCACATCCAAGATAGAATTTCTGAAATGGACAGCAAGCTAACTTCACTTCACAGGCTAGCTTGGCAGTTGCTTCTGACTATGCATTACCCTAGCAAGATGCCTAGAAAGCATCTCCTCCTCTATCCCTAAACTTTTCTTCTGTCCCCACAAAGATTTGGATCAAAATTAAAACATTTCAGAACACCACTATCACCACTGCCACCTCTAGTTTGATACTGTCTACACCTAGGTGTTTAGAGAAAGAGTCAAATTAGAAGGCTGAAAACATCTGCTGCAGAAAATCAACATAATGCTGAAAATTTAGCCCTTTAGACAGTAAAATAAGAAAATCTGAGCAAGAGGTATTTACCTGATAATCATTCCCCCTGTAGATGGCATATTTACAAGGAATCACAAATAGATTGTATCCATCTCTACTGAGTTAAGAAGCAGTCCAATCTGCCAGCCAAGAACCATGGTAAAGAATTCTGCCCGTTCCTCCTCTTCATGTCAAAGAATGTTCCTCCAGAGCTGCAAAACTGAATTATACGAATATGCATATTAACTAGATGATTCTTTCTTTCATAAATTCTTTAACTCATAATTAACTTTTAGTTATTAATATGCTTATTCGTATAATTTAGCTTCCAGCTTTCAAAAAAACTATGGTGGCAGATAAGAAAAAGCCTGGAAAGCCAGTATCATGATACCTGTTAAACAGAGCAGTTTAATTTTATACTTGCTGAAAAGAGGCTGTCATTGGACCTCACCATCACACCACATTTGCTAATGCATCAAAAGGCAAGTCAAAAAAACAGTTTTGAGGTTCCAGCCCAAATAAATTTTTTTAGTTATCAATGTTTTACTGCAAGGCTAATGGAGGAAGTGATCATAACCCTGAATATATTTTTACTATGGATTTTTACAGTGTGGGCAATTTTTTATTCCAGCTGATGGGCTATTTGAAAGTTTTCAAAGTTCATCTTGCTTCTTTGGACTAGATTTTGTATTCCTTTCAGGCTAACTTCTTCCATCTGTAAACCATGTTGAGCCGCTGCAGTAACAACAAAATACATTTTTGCAGCATATTTCATATAAGGATTTCCAAGTGTTTGCAAACAAACACACCTCAGCACACAAGTAAAATAATTCAGTATTATGCAAAAAGAACTGAATCTATTTTTGCACTCAGCAACATTCTCCCTTACTTTATCTACAAATAAAAAAAAAAAAGTCAGGAATTTGGAGAGAACTGAACCATTAGTCTTCAGATGATACAAGTATATTCTTTGTACTTGAGTATTAGTTCTGTACTATGGTAACTACAGTAACTTATTTCATCAGAATTATGCAGATGTATGTCAAAATAATCACAATAAGTGATCAGCCATATTTCTTAACATTATACAGTTAAACCAGCTTTCAACAAAATATAACTTCAAAGCTGTCTTGGAATTTTTAAGCTTCTATTGCTTTTTGTAATTCAATTCTCAACTCTCCAAAAGTTCCAAAATTAAGAATATTTACCAAAATGAGCGCTGAATTTTTTTAACTCTGAATTTCATCCACATGGCTACAAAAAAAAAAAAAGTAAAAATTGTTTACACACACCCCCTATAACATTTCAGCTCTAAAGACAAAGTGAATATTAAAGAGCACTTTACTATCTCAACTCAAACTTAAAAAATAAAAGTTAGATTAGAAAAATATTAAGTCATTTTTACAACTGGAATAGTTGAGGTGTTGAATGTTAAAGTTCAAGGTTCATATAGGAAACATAAGAAAGCTTGCAATGAATCTACCAGTTTTTCCTGGTTAGAGACAATACTACCAGTCCTCACTTGCAAGAGCACTGACACTTCTATAGCATGTATTATGTAGTAACTGATGACTATGAGTTTATGAAATTAAGTTTAGCAATTAGAATATTAAGTTCTTAATCAAAAATACCAGTTTTAGGCGTTCTTTTCTTCTCTTGCCAAAGGAAGAGCTTGATGATCCAGGTTCTGATTCTTGGCCTCCTGTTTTACCATTATCATCATCCTCCTCTTCATCATCATCAAAGCACCATTCTGGTAGCTCAGGTGGTGACGGTGCATCATCTTCATCTCCGTAACGACGAAATAATTCCTTCAGATAGTCACCTTTATAAATACCTGGTGGTCTAGCCTGAGCAAAAGTAGCCACAGCAGCCTCAATACTGTCAAATAAAAATTTAAAATTACTCTGGATGCTTAATTTACATGGTTTAGTCATATTATACCTTAACAAACATAAGATTTATTGGGATGGAGAATTAAAACAAATTCCAAACTGGTAATTACAAAAAAATTAACTATATTTGAAACATCATGCTTGGATCAGCCTGGCAGCAGTTGCTCTTGCACAAGAGTGTGCATAATTACGTAAGTACTGTGTACGTTCTCAGAAGTAACTGCAGCTTGCACAGCTTCATCTCCTTATTGTAGCTAATAGTGGTCTGCTGGTCACCTAAGTAAAACTTTATTATTGCTGCAGAAAAGGAATGGCTGACACGTAGGTAAGTACTTAAAGACTGAACTAAGACAAAAAAAAACAAAGAAAAAGATGAACAAACTTAATGAAGAAAAATGCAAGTGTTGAAATTCAAATATGGCCACGTTTTTCCCCTAAGAATTATCTTTCCTTTCATTGGAGGTTTTGCTATCACAGTGGGGAAAAAGCATCCTAATCTTTTGAAATTACTTCTCTTTCCAGAAGTTTCTCATAAAGAACTGTAATTCAGAAGCCTTTTACTATGCAGCCAACACTTAATCTTAAGTGCTTTAATAAACTGGAGATTGGATCACAAAAAAATTAGAAACCAAAACTAACAGTCATGCACCTTTACTAGCCAACTGGAAAGCACTCCAAAATATATAACAGTGAGCACAGCACAAGGGTTTTATTGTTGCTGTTTTCATAGATCCTATGAAAATGTTTAACAGAAATCATTCTGTTAATAATTCTGTCTTCAATTTATCATGACTGTGGTGGAGCAGTAATGCTCCATGCACCAACATTTAGAAATCTTGCTATGCAAAAGAGAGGAGAAATCACAAAAGGTATGTATCCCTGTTAGGCTTCTTGACAAGCACTTACCTTAAAGCTGGAACAAAAGCACATATTACACGCCGCAAAAATAATTTTTTTCAGATAAGAAAATAGCCTGTCACTGGAACAAGGAAAACATATAGCTAAAATGGAAAAAAGAATTTAAATACAAAAGGCATTTTTTTGTCTGATCTGTACAGTATGGGAAGGAGCCTGAGAACTTTATGAGGCACATTTCCCAGAATAGACAGAAACACTTCCTAAGAACCAGTAAGTTTGGTTCTCTCTTCTGATCTTTGGCAAGAGAAGAAAACAAAACATTTTCCAGAGTGAGACTATCAGATGGTCGGTCATCAGATCTCAGAAATGACAGTTTAAGAATCCGAGTTATTTGGAAGGAGCTTTCTTCCCCATTCTGTTTTCTAAGACTCCTGATTTCTTCCTCACAAGACATTTTTTATTTTGGTATCTTTCTTAAATTGTTTCACATCTTCTGTAATCAATGCCAGTGAAAGGACAAGCCAAACCAAAAGGGATGGGGCCTGAAAGACACTCAAATTTGTCTCTGATGATATTAGAAGAACTCTGTGCTATTCTGGAATAGATGGCAATGAAAACCAGAAGAGGCAGCACAGACTTCAAGCACAGAAATCCAGCTGAAAGAAAACATATTTTGCAAGTTCTAGAAACATAGCAGTCTTTGAGAAAAATTAGTTGTGAAAAAGCGAGTCAAGTAAGGTTTCTGATCACTAGCTGAAGAGCTTTTAGTCTGGATGACCCTTCTTTAAACTAACTATAAAATACATCTCAGTGTTCAAAATACATCAGCAGCGCTCCTATATCATATGCTTAAGGAATGAATATGGATGGATTTTTCCATCAGGAAAATCTTATTTTCTCATCAGCAAATAACAGTGCCTTATTTTAAGGAATGATACAGCAAATTGGATTTATCTTGATACAATGCTTAGCATTAACTAGCACCTTGCCAAAATTCATTCTTTAGCTGTGGACATTTTTCCCTATCAGGTGATATCTGGGTGCTCTCTTAAAAAATCTGACAGAGATGAACACACTTGATAAAATTAACTACCTGAATGAAGAGAAAAAAAAAAAAAAGAAAGACATGGCTGTTAAGTTTTAAGGCTTTTCCCACAGAGGTTTGAAAATAAAGAGACGATGCATAAAAGCAGGAGATTCAAATAAGATTCAAGTGTATTTCCTCTTCAGAACAAAGGACCAATTCTGAGTCTAATTATTGCATGCTGCTTTTAAATTGTTAGATTAAAAGCATATAAATTTGCTATTTCATAGGAACAACTAGCATCATACTATAAAGATATTTGTATCCATATCTACTTCCTATACTCAGCTAAGATTCTGCCAAGACTCAGCCACCCACTACTAATGGTGTTCTGTCTCCATTACGCCAATGTCTTTATTCCAGACAACTATGACCTAGTTCTTTGCAAACAGTTTGCACATACATGCTAAGCACCAAATAACTGTTACGTCCAGACATAAGAAAATCCTGCAAAAGGAGTAGAATTTTCTTCAGTTACAGGACCATACAAGAAATATCATCAGAATGCTTAAGGGGCTTGTTAAGAAACATGCTTTGCATGGGACCCCATCAGCAAGGAAATAGTGTTTCGTGAACACTACCAAACATGCAAAAGTCATGCCCACCAGCATGGTACAGGAAATTTTTTTTTTGTACACTAACGTTATTTGAAAAAGATCACTACTCTTTATGAAGGCACCAGCATTTTTAAATCACAAAAACCCAGTGAGTCTGTATAGAAGCATGCTGTAGACTTTAGTCAAACAAGTTGGAAACAAGGACTTGGTCTCCCCTCAACCCTTCAAAAGCAATTATTTCACTCTGCTTTGCTCTAGCTAATCTCTTCAGAACTCAAAAAAAAAAAACAACAGAAAAAGCCTACATGCAAACCTACATGAAAAAGATTAAAAAGTAAGGGAAATAAACCTTTCAGGCATCTCTGATCTCTACATTCTTACTCAAAATGTGGGCTGTGTCACGGGGAAGGGACACAGTACAATATATACACTCCTAAAAGCCCACACACAGCAGGTACAGCTGACTTCTGGAAAGCTTGACTGAAACAGGCTAAGCTACCAAGGGATGATATGAATAATGTTAATATTGGTTGTTTGGTCAAGATTAGTAGGCAGTTTTAAAATAACAAACAGTGAATACATTAGGATAGCTGTCAGGACCATGAATGAAACATACTGAAGAGGCCTTTGGTCACTCTCCACAAATCCCTAGGTATTAACATTCAAAGTTACCTCCAGTCCAATTTCTCGACCAAAAAGGCACAGATCAGAAATCCAGTTCTATTGAAACCATGTGTGCAATGGACACCTAGACAACACAAGAAAAGGACATCATCATTTCCAAGTAGTTTTAACAAACATGTTTTAGTTTCACATGTGTGTGTTTGGATCCTTCTACCTTCATCATTAACATTAAAGAGTTATCTCCCTTCCCATCAAGGCAGCCCAGGTCACATAAGGCACATAAGCCTAAAAAGCAATTTATTACAGTATTTCTGCAAATTATTAGCAACAGGAGTACAGGATGCTTCAGTTCATCCCAACTCAAGAGCACTAACTTAATGCAACTGACATAATGGCTAATACAGATAAGATTCAAAGTATTTTTTTATGACTGCTCAAATGCTTATTAGGAGACAATACAATCAATTTCAATAATCGTACTTTTAGCGAATTTAGCAAGCATTACATTCATTTCACACCATCAGGCATAAAAATCATATCCAGATTACCTTACCACAAACTTGAAAGTGGTGTCAATAGACCACAATTCTATTTCAAATTTGCTGTTACCATGCTAAGACCAGACACTAATTTTGAAAAAAAAAAAAAAAAAACAAAAAAACCAACAAACTACAAAAAGAAAACTATATAACAGTGTAATTACCTTGAATTACTTATCTTTTCAATGTAAGAAAAAAAGAATTAAGTCTTCAGCCTCTATTTTACTGATTTCATCCCCAGTGAAAGGAGGGAAGAGTCAAATGCATCGGAACTTTTTTCTCTCAAGGCAACAGCACCATCTAGTGATAAACCAGTCTGAAAATTTGTGCTACTAAAAATGTCAGATTCAGGCAGGATGTTGCCTCTTCCTCATACTACATTTTAAATTATAAATCTCTGAGTATTAAAGTTCCCACTAACACTAAACACAATTATGCTTATTATTAACATATTTTTCAGTTGTGACCATAGAATCACAGAATCGTTTAGGTTGGAAAAGACCTTTAAGACCACCAAGTCCAACCGCTAACCTAGCACTGCCAAGTCCACCACTAAACCATGTCCCTAAGCACCACATCTACACGTCTTTTAAATACCTCCAGGGGTGGTGACTCCACCACTTCCCTGGGCAGCCTGTTCTGATGCTTGACAACCCTTTTGGTGAAGAAATTTTTCCTAATATCCAATCTAAACCTCTCCTGGCACAACTTGAGGCCATTTCCTCTCATCCTATCACTAGTTACTTGACAGAAGAGACTGACCCCCACCTCACTACAGCCTCCTTTCAGGTAGTTGTAGAGAGCGATGAGGTCTCCCCTCAGCCTCCTTTTCTCCAGACTAAACAACCCCAGTTCCCTCAGCCGCTCCTCACAGGACTTGTGCTCCAGGCCCCTCACCAGCTTGGTTGCCCTTCTCTGGACACACTCCAGCACCTCCATGTCTTTCCTGTAGTGAGGGGCCCAAAACTGAACACAGGACTAGAGGGGCAGCCTCACCAGTGCCCAGTACAGGGGACGATCACCTCCCTGCTCCTGCTGGCCACACTACTTCTGACACAGGCCAGGATGCCGTTGGCCTTCTTGGCCACCTGGGCACACTGCCGGCTCATATCCAGTCGGCTGTCGACCAGCACCCCCAGGTCCTTTTCCAGCCCCTCTTCCCCAAGCCTGTAGCACCGCATGGGGTTGTTGTGACCCAAGTGCAGGACCCGGCACCTGACACCATGAAGCAAGTCACTTAAGCTTTTACTGATTTTCTTACTTCTCTACCATAATTAGTAAAGTAAGTTTAGCAACAATTCACTTGATGCTTTTTCAGACAAAACGTGAATATCTATCTTTTTTCTATATGCTCCCACTACAAGTATTTTATATTTTTTTACTGGAGATCCAAAAAATGCCTACAAAGAGTAGACTTTGATACTTCTGATAAAAACCAGAAACTTTATATGGGTAAACAGAAATATGTATCAACTGTATCAGGGTCGGCTGCCCCACCAAGCTTCCATTCTTAATAAAGCAAGGCAAAAACTACGACGAATTTCTTAGATTCATCCATTCTAACCTTTTAATAATATTAAAAGCAGTGTAACTTTCATCAAATGAAATGAATTTTAGCTTCCTTACAGAATTTGTTCCCAGCAATCATTTCTCCTTTGTTTTCTGCTTAAGAAATTTTTTGCATTTTGTTTCCTTAAGGTTGGCAGGCATACTCCAGTCCTTCAAGTTGCAAAACTCGTTTCCATCCTATATTGTTCTAGCTGAATAGAAAATTTTGTTCACTATTCACATTTCAGTCCCTTTTCATATCTAATCTTGACATTGGAAATGAAATTGCACACAATCGTTATTGATAAGTCCTGCAGCTGTTACTGCTACCAGGAAAGTTAAGTCAATAATTTTATACACAAGACAAAGATAAGAAGCATTTCAGCAATGAGACCAACAGCTTGGAAGGGAAAGATCACACAGGGTGCAGTACTATCACTGCTGCAGACTGCTTTCGCTTTTGATAAAAACATCCTCCACACCAGTCCCTCTGATGCTCTGTCAGAGGAAACAAGTGTCCAGAACCAGAAACAACTTTTCAGCAATTCATGGAAGTGAAATGGAAAATCTCAATATTTCTCTTTTACTATGAAAGCCTAAACCTGTGGTCAACACATGACTTTCTTCCTGACTCTTTCTAATTGGCTTTTTTTTCCCATAGAGGTGAAACAATCTAAATAATGGAAGAACATTCCAAAATTCATAGAAGTCAAAAAGTGACTCAACACTAAAAATGGCATTTTAAAAGATGAAATACCAGTTAAATGGGTCTGCTATTTATAGGGTATCACCATGCTATCCATGCACCATATAAATTGCTGACCATAACAATATTTCAGGTTCTGAAATACTGTTGGTGGACCAAGTGGAGGAACTGCAAAAGGAGAGTGAAAAATGAGGAACTGCTAAATGAGAGTGAGTGGGATCAGTCATCAACAATACTGAGAAAATTCCTTTGCTTAGATTTTTAAGAATAAGAGGCTGCAGTTATGAGTAAATATGAAATAAATTAACAGTAAAAACTAATGATAGATATAAGATGGATATAATGGATATAAGAAGACATACCTATAAGCTCTGAGGGGTTCTTATCACTGAAGTGTTCACATACACGGATAAATGTTTCTGTATTCTCAGGTGTAGGGCACTCACCATGCCTGAAAAACACAAGAACACACAGATTAGGAGACAGCTAGGGGAAGGAGAAGAGATAAAGAAAAAGATTAATTACTTCAGTGTGATCTTTCAAATGAAAAGCTAAATATTAAAAAAATGCAGACAACTTACCCTTTACACTGGAGCTTTATATATTTAATCCCCTCTTTCTCTATATCATTCCTGTCATAGAATCTAGTGGTGTTGGTCAAGTCTACCAGTAAACCCATTTTAACCTTAAAAAAAAGTAAACATATATATGGTTCAAATATCAGTGCATAAACACTCAATGGCTAATAATATCCAAATTAAAAGCAATCTACAGTTGCAAGTTCAAAAATTCTTAAATATTGCATTTGTTCACAAAAATCTATATTTTACCACCATCACAGTCATCTGTGTTTCTCTGTGAAAGCTGGTGTCTGATAAGCACTAGCCATCAATTCAAAAACTTCAGTTTGTTCCCCTCAATGTTTCTAAATAGGAAAGATCTGCTAACAGCAGGAAAGTACCTGATAAAGAATTATTTTAACATGTTAAAAGACAAATAAGGTAAAATCAGGTGCTCTTACACTTTAGGTAGAACAATATTAAACACTAGCACAGCAGAAGTACCATAAGAAAAATTAACTACTGAGACTTATATGTAAGTATACTCTCAGAAAAAATAACTCAATTTACCCATCCATTAGAATGCAAACCAAATGAACACATTTTCAAATTTAAACCAAAATTCCTTTAAAATCTCAGAAACATTTTATTCAAAGCTAATAAGTGAAACAACTTGAAATCTTCAAAGATGCTGTCAGTAAGTAAGCTGGCAGTGTCAACCACTCAGATGTTAGGATGTACCTAATTCAGGCTCCCTTGCCCACTCTACCCTAACGCATCCCCTTGTGCAGGAACGAACTTTTTTAGTCTTTGATTTTTATAGCTGTAAAATAGGTCTTTTAAAGCAGCCTTGTGGAAGTTATTGTTTTTAAAAAGCAAGATGGAAAGCAGAAATACCACTAGGTGGCATCCAACACAGAGAACATCAGCAAAGTGCATCCTACTGATCCTTGGTCTAAACAAAATTTCCACCAACCATAAACCTCCCAGTATTACTGTGCAAAACCAGCTCACTAACACACCTGTGTACTGAAGGTATTCCTGGTTTCCTGCCTTATAAGTGCAAGTAATTGCTTTTGGTCAAAATGCTGAATGTCATGCTTTCAAGTAGGATCCTCACCATGAAACCAGATGTCTTTTTAAAAGGCATTTTAAGAGTGGTAGTTTAGCAAAATTCTTGTTCTATAGCTTTGTCTTTTTTAAAGATACATCAATAGTGCACTTAAAAATACATTAACACTGAAGCATGTTATGCATGCAAAAACACAGAAGAACACTTCATCTTCAATATATTTAATACTCCAGCACAAACTCATAAACAGGATTTTGATCAGGTTTTATCCACCTTAAGGTCAACAGACTGGCAATAATTTAGCAGTGCATTTGGAAGAATTACAAATTAAAACACTGCTTCCAGACAATTCAGAAAAGATAAATTCCAATTATAACTGGAATACAGTTCAGAAACAGCTGCTTCACATGGATATGTGGTTCAGTAGACCCCAAAGACAGATTTCCAATTATCTACAGAGGTAGTTATCCATGGTATTCCAAGTGCTAATTATATACTTTCATAATACTTTTATAATACTTCTACACTTTCATAATACTTTATCAGATATTAAAAAGCATCATGTTATATCAGCAGTGTTAAGCATTTGTAGTGTAATACCCAAATCAGTTCTGAATTTCTCCTTGTTTACTTCAACTTTGTATATTGTATTCAGAATGCTTTATTTCCTTTTATTAGTGTGTTTTGCAGAAATACAAGCTACTTCAGTAGGGGTCCACCTGAAAACAATGTTACATCACCCGAAACTTCAAAAATTTAGTGTCAACCGAGCTGTTAAACATACAGACTGACAGCATACTAGCCAGTGATTAATGCTGTAGGAAGTATATGAAAGGCAATTAATTCAATGATTACTTTCCTCCCCCTCCATTCTCAACAGTATTTAGCAAATATCTCAAAGACTACTTAATTCACAAATAAGACAACACAAAATTTCCAGGTGCTACACACTGTAGGTCCGTAACACTATGACACTGAACAGTTATTTTGAACTGGTTTATGTCAAAGAATGACATATTCCAACACCAGTACTTCTAGGTGATTGTACAGGAATCCACAGAGTATCTTCCAGTAACATGCCATGCCCCCCAAGAAGCATAAGAATCTGCCTCTGTGTTCTGCACCCTATCAGCAGTGTGGTTAGAGTTGGCAAAAAAAGACTGATATGAGAATCAGGTGAGTTTTCACCAGAGAGCTCTAGACTATGAAGCCACATAAATGGCCGCCTAACTACCCTCCTCCCCAACTTCTACATAGCTCAGCTTGATAACCTATTCTTTTACATACAATATGAGGTTAGGTGTTAACGCTTCCAAGATGTCCTCAGCTAAGGGGAAAAATATTTTCAAAGTAAGATTAAGATTTAATGAAAACATCATTTTAAAGTAACGGTTTTTTCATTCAGTTCCAGTCTAGTAAGAAAGAAGACATTCCAAAATGTGAATTACTCCTGAAAAAAATACTGTATCATCTAACAATCTGGAGAAAGGGAAAAAGAACCCTGAGGAAAACAACCTTTAATAATAGCCTGAAGACAGATTAAAAGGTAACACTTTAATATATCAAATTGTTAAAGGAGAGCTGCAAGAAGAAATGCAAGTGATTTGCAGAACATAGTTTCACATCCTCCCATCCAAAAGTAGAAGAGATACCATTCCATTTTAGTGTTAAAAACTCAAAGCCAATTCCCAGCCCCACTGTTCTCGAATACCAGCAGCTTCAAATGTTCCCACCAGAAGCCTCCAAACTTCCCCAAACTCCTGCTACAATGAAGAATTATCACTGAGATGTTTGAAAGCACAAAAATTTAATTTTATGGCAAAGCTTTTAAGCTCAAAGAATACTCACATGGTTTTCTCTCAACTTTTAGAAATTACTCTTTTGAACATACTCGCTTACAGATTTCAGTTACCTGACTGACATGTAGAAGCCATGAGAACAGTTGATTCAGTATGAGAAGAATGTTGATAACACACTGATGTTTTCAGTTGTTGCTAAGTAGTGTTTATACTAAGTCAAGGATTTTTCAGCTTCTCATGCCCAGCCAGCAAGAAGGCTGGAGGGGCACAAGAAGCTGTGAGGGGACACAGCCAGGACAGCTGACCCAAACTGGCCAAAGGGGTATTCCATATCATGTGATGTCATGCCCAGCATATAAACTGGGGGGAGCTGGCCTGGGGGCATCACTGCTCGGGAACTAACTGGGCATCGTTTGGCGAGTGGTAAGCAATTGCATTGTGCATCACTTGTATATTTCATTTCTTTCATTATTATTATTGTCATTTTTTACTGTTATTATTATTTTCTTCCTTTCTGTTCTATTAAACTGTCCCTATCTCAGCCCACGAGTTTTACCTTTTTTTTTCCCCTGATTCTCTCCCCCATCCCACTGGGGGAGGGGGAAGCGAGTGAGCGGCTGCATGGTGCTCAGTTACCATCTGGGGTTAAACCACGAGAACACTACAACATACTTCAGACCCTAAGTGTCACCAAGCATCTGAGATGTTGCATTTAATCTGAATAGGAGAATGAAATATAGCAAAGTGTCTACTAGAGAGGAAATTCTGAACTACAGGACTCTAGGATTTCTGGCCTGCTATTCCTTTGCCATTATTACGAATCATTTCAATCATATATAAGTGAAGATCTTGTGAAGTGACACTGTTCCTCACTCATTTCATGGAGCAGTAAACCAAACAGGCATCCGATATAATTTAGCCAAAGCTATAAAAGCATGTAGGGCATATAAAGCATATAAGGCCTGAAAGCAGTTTCCTTGCTTTACAGAAAGCATAAACATTTGCGCTCTCAATTCATGGGATTAGCTGCATGTAACACACTACAATTTAGAGAGTGCAAGGCAAAAGAAGAAGATAAAGAAATTTTTAAAAAGCCAGGGGATTATGTAACATAATCAAGTATACGATTACGATGTTCCAAAAATCCATGCAAAAAAATAGTGGTACCACAGGAATCAAAACATTTCAGTCACTGAACTGGGGTTATACTACGCTTGTCCTGATGATGACAATTCTCACCTATAGAATAGATTCTAGTACACGTACATTCATCACGCAGGGGCTTTGCTCTGCTTGAAACCCTGACATGACACCAGTCATTACAGTCATCCTCTCAGTCATGCTCTCCTAAGTTTGCTCCTAGAAAATTCTTAATAGAAGCTGATTTTTTTAAAGACTATCTAAGCTAAAATAGATAGTCACCCACTGGAAAAAATGTTTTTCCGGCCAATGTTTTGCATGAATCACATCTTTCAGTCCACCACACCCATTGAATGACACAGCTTTGGAAGAAAGACTAATTTTCAGTTGTTGAGCAACTTCTCACTAAAACATACGTTTATTTCTTACAAGGACTGTTACAACACTACAATCTTAGACACCACATTGAAACACAATTGAAACTAGTTATTTTTCTTGCTTCTAATTGTAAAAGATGACCAGATAGAAGGAAAAAAAGCTCATCAATAGCTTGAAGTTCTCATGTTTTACATACAATAATACCAAGATCTTCATACCACCTCCATTCTACTCATACTTATTTTGGCCAGGCTCTCCATGTCCTCCTACAGTTATAAAAGCCTTCCTCCTCACTTTCTCATATATCCAGCTATTAATGCCTTATGCATGTGCTCTTCTGCTGCTGTGCAATTAAATGGGCTTAGCTAGGTTCCCCTTGTATAACCCCAGAAGTTTCTCATTAGAAGCTGGAACTTGAAAACATGCTCCCCAGGAGGGAGAGGGCATACCACAATACACTGAATTCTCTCGAGTGCCAAGATTCTTTTCTTGCATTTCTTATTTGAGGAAAATAGTTTAAATTAGTGATTGAATTTATCTGTGAAAACAATAATGTGGCTGAAAACTAGTTTTCCTAATAGGAATATTTTAACTTGAGCATGCTAATTGCCCAAACATTCTTTTGAATTAACTGATGTCCTAGCTCTTCATAACAGAAATAAAACTGCCTTTTATAAAGCATAAACAGTACTAACCTACCTACTCAAGAAACAAAAAAAATAAAATTATTCACACTGTCACCAATTGCTCCTGCAAATTTTTTTTATGAGACCATTAAGATATTATGTCAATATTGGCAATCAGAAAAATGGGGTTGCTATCCCTTATCACATCAGTTTCTACCATTCAGATTTTCAGCAACCAGCTCCATGAGAAAAAGGAATCACACAGGAAGTTTGTTCAAGAAAGTTCCTCCCAGACAGATATTGTCTTAAATGCTGAACTGGTACCTTCAAAAACCTGTGGTACCAGCAATATCTTACTATTACCAAAATCCAGATGTAAAAGTTTCTGCTGAAGTTTCTTATTTGGGAGATAAATTATATGGACTTAAGTAATAACGAGGTTTCAGAAGTGATTCATTCTGCAAAGTACTAGCAGTAAAACACACTGCAGTAAAATGATTAGAACCATGCACAGTGAGGTACTTTTGCCTTGGGAAAATCCAAGTTCTCCTCAATTGCACGTTCATCTCATTGCCAGATTGTTGGTAAACTGCTGTTCTACAAATATAGTACTTCAGTGATCCACTGCATATCTCAGCAAATAAAAAATTGTGTTTTCAAATAGGAAACATTTAGCAACAATATCAGGGTTCAAGACAAAATAATAGATAAGATGAGAGCGGTGAGTTTGAGAGAAATTATGTGTTCTGCTTGTTAACCAAAATTACCGAAACGGAAGTGGGGACTGTCTTGCTAGTAATCGTACTATCAGATTCTAATCATCTGATGTCACTCAAGACATTACGAATTTGTAGTATTGCAACAGAACTGACTGATGTGCCTAGTGGAAAGGCTATGAAGGCTCACCATGATTTCTTTTTTGGTGACAAACCACTAGCAAGCAAATAGAATTTCTGAGTAAGTCTCTCAAGTTCTCTAACTTCAAAATATATGCAGAATTTTAAATTACTTTAAACCATGAATAAGATTGGTTTTGGAAAATTTCTAGGTATGCCCATTAGAGCCGGTCAGAGTCAAAACCAACATAATGCATAAAAGAGGAACTCAAGTAGAATTTATATGCACAGATCCAAGAATTCAAACAAGAAAAATCCTACCAATTCAAGCACCTGAGAACAGGCACATATGCCTCACTCATAGTACCTTCTTATCACATTAGCCCACAGGTACTGCTATCACTGCTACACTGAGTAGCTCACCATCTAGTTCATACCTAAGCCTAAATAAGATTCATAAAATGAAGATTCCCATATTTTAGTCACCTGACTCTTTTGATGTTTAAGCTCTGATATTGTTAAACAAATTCAGAATTAATTTAACTTAGATCAACAGCAAAACCAAAAAAAACCCACAGAAAAAATATCACTAGCATAATTAGTTTCATGGAACAGTCAAAAAAAAAAAAGTGGTGCTAACCTTTTATATAACAGTTTAATAAACAGATTAAAAGAATTAGTTTGTAGGCCTGCCTTTGCCTAGGAGGCTCAAAATCCCATTTCCCACATCTCCAGATGCACTGGACTGGGCACAACACTTCACAGGCCTACATGAAAGGCTGGAAAGGTCCTGTTCCCCACCTTTATTGTCAAAGCTGTGCTACAGTGCAGAACAACATGCAAGTTGAAATGGACAGACAGAAATGAGTGAAACAGAGAATGAAGACATAAGCCAGAAACACAACTCTGTAACCCAATGATAAAGGCATCCACCCACCTTCCTGGGTCCCAGTTCATCCTCCTAAAATTTTTTTCTATTTAATGCATTTTTTTTCCACTAAGAAGTTACTAGATAAAATCCATAAACTGATTTCTTCCATACTTGGGTATGACTGGTTAGATACCATAAAGCATTCTATGCATCAAAAGAAGAAAATTATGCATTGAAACTACAGAAGAGTTCTATGAAATTCTCCTTTCACTTTTAAATGCTTTCACTCCTATAAACAAAATTGCAACTTAACATATCCATACACAAGAGACATTTGTAAAACTACAAACTCATCGACTATCTGAATTTTACAATGACATCTCTCCAAGACACAACAGTAATAACAGAGAAGAGTGAGATTCTTGCTGCTAATACAGTGAATGAGCTGGCAGACTTTGCACAATTCTTGCCTATAAGAAAGTACTTTTGGAAATTTAGGAGTTGCAGAGAAAACCTGAAAATGTAAACAAAAAAAAAACTTTTCTGTACAGATGCCTCAAAGGAAGCCATCAACCACTTTTCTTAAATCTGAAAAGTAACATTTGAATAAACATTAACAATGAAAGTAATGTTTCAATTACTAGAAAATTTAACTTTACCTTCAGACTCTTTAAGTAGTTGGATAACATACTCGGGTGAAAACGATTTTCTTCAGCAACCTGTTCATCATATCTTGGTCCTAACATTGTCTTCAAAGGTAAAAACTTCCCTATGAAAGATAATCAAATTTGCAGTATTTTACATATACTCGTCTATATGTACACTTAGAACTTAGCAATTTCAAAGCAACATGCTGAACAGATTTAGAGGTTCACCTTCAATGAAAAATAATCACAGGAAAAGCATCAACAACAGTTGAATCGGAATATTCTTTAGTTATGAGTTCTCAGAATTCACAAGTAAGTTTATAAGTTTAAAGGAAATACAGGTCAGGTCAGCTTATCTAAAACAAAGTAATTTAACATTTTTAGCTAGCTTTTAATGTGGTTTAAGCTGCCAAGTCATAGTGCACAACAGAATAGAGAAAATTTAAACTCATTACAGTTAAAAACATGAAAATAGCATTTAAAATGACAGTTTGTTACCCAACCATGTAAATATCAGCTTTGACTACCTGCAAACATAAAACACAGTGAAGATCGCTGCAAAAAAATTGCATTTGATCCAGAACACCTACGCACAACAGATCCTTCTGACATACTCCTTAAGGCTTGTTGGAAGAGTTCTGCGGCAGTGTCAACCTTCCCTCCGAAACACAATGCCTATGTGCTATTCAGACATCAGGGAAGTTACAAGACCACAACAAACACTTGACCAGAATTACTACTTCCTGGACTACATCCATCACTCCCTAGAAACCCAAAATTTTTTTTAGTATTTATTTTATTTTTCATCCATCACATCCACCACAGAATATCTGAAATAATCTCATTAGAGATCTCTAGCTCGCTCTTTCTGAACCCCAGCAAGCTACAGGCAAGCCTTTCCCTCCAAGTGCAGCAGGAACAGGTATTTGAGCAGCATGTACTGACCCAACAGCTCTTCCTGCGCTTCTAAACAGAGAAAAACCTAGAGCCCAGGTCACCGCCACCACGTCTGCCTGGGAAGCAGCACACCTCCTCCCACACGTACCTGGGATCCTGCATCACAGTTAGTTGTGGAAAATGAATGCAAAGCGACAGCAAGAAAGAGACCTGGCGTAACTGCCCAGCCACACCAAGGTTAATGATACAGGCAGGAAGTAAAACTGGGAGAACCTCAGCATTTCCAAATAGCTCTGAAAATATGTAAATTAATTATATCCCAAGACTAATCAAATAAACCCTCCCCCAAGAAAATAGAAAAAAAATTAGTGCCCCAGAACTCTTCTCCCTTTTTTTTTTTTAAATAAAACTGTTCCCATGCTGTTAAAAAGATAGCCCTTCTAAAACCAAAGGAAATGCAACCATGCAGTTGTATAGCACAGAGGAGCAGGAGAAATGTTTTTTTCAATGCAGGAAGAACTCCAAATTAGAGCACCAGACATAAATCTTCCAGGAAAAAAAGTGCTGCTAGATCCTGACGTTGTCGAATTATATTTCTAAGATGCTTCTAATAGCACTTAACTTACCTATTTCCTAGAGGGGGAAAAAAAAAACCCCAGTTCATTCTGTACACGATTACTTTTTTTTTTTAAACTTCAGTAACTTCTAAAAAGCTTTTCCTATTTAGAAACACAAATACCCACAAGATATTTTGAACTAAGGGAAAACATAACACCTTTCTATACTATTCCTTAAACTGTCTGATGCATCTGTTCAGCTGTGTAATGTAGAGTAACGGCCACAATCCAATAGTCTTTACGCAGTATTTAAATGTTCAGTTTCAGATCCTCAAGTGAACCAGCACACCCAGCACTAATCCTAAAAAATTCTTCTAAACTACTCAGGAAAATACTGCTTTCTCATCAAGACAGAACATTTCCTCATAATAAAAGAAACAAAATAGTCTTGTTTTCAGCAAAACAAAACCACATGGAATGAAGAGACACTAAAACACCCATTGTATCCAGCTAGAAATCAAGTTTTGAGAGAGAAGCTCACTCATCTTTGTAAAAATAGAAAAATGCATACCATTTTTATTAAATGAATGCTGCTGAGAGGTTTCTCTATTCAATAAATCAAAGTTTGTAGAGTTCTTTGTAGCCTTAACTTCTATCAAAACATCTTATATAGTCTGAAATAAGCATTCAACTTCTAGGAAAGAGACATTATAAACCACAGAAGACAGATAGTTATGGAAACTGAGAAGCTTTACGCAACTTGTTAGCTCAGGTTTGACATTAATCAACATGAGGAACACCCTCACTGTTACACTTGTCTGAGACCATTCCAAACTTTACAGCTAAAAGGAGAGTTATTCAGTCATATAGTCAACATACACATTAAACAGTAATAAATTTATAGTCACTTCAACTTATTTGACCATTAGAAAAACTCATAACTACACTTTACTTCCCTTTCCCTTTTCATTCCACCAGTTATACATCCTCCTCCCTGGTCATGGCTGTTGGGTTGGCTACCTCCCCTCCATTTCCCCATTTTTTGATCCATCTACTTTAATTTTCTTGCTTCTTTGTGTTCCTTGTCACCTTCAACACTATCATTCAGCTTCTCTCACTCACTATTAACCCTTCCACATTAACTTGTAATCTTCCTCTGTACAGACTGATTAGGCAAATCCTAATTTTGGATTATTTTAATGCAAAAATCTATCATCACCATAAGTTTTGCAAAACACCAAGCATGCTTGAAAATTTTTAACTTTGCCATTTGCCACGCCTATCCTAATGCATCCATTCATCCATTACAGAACATGAAGAATGTAACTGAACTTTTTTTAGCCAAGGCATTCAAGAAAAGGAGCTCGACTGACAAAAGAGTCAATGGATACATAAAAAACTACCATCCTTTATGAGAAGCTGGGAAAAGAGAGTAGAGTTGTAAAACAGTGCCTGGAGGTTAAGATCATTTCCTCTAGCATTCGATTAGAGACAGTACAATCGCACTGAAGACTCTCCTGTTCTCCATCTTCTAGAACAGAGAACGAACATGTTCATTCTTTTCTCAGTAGTGGACCTTGATTTAGTGTCTGATTTTCACTCTGATTTCCTCCTGAGCAACCATAATACATTCCTGTTCATCACCAAGAAAAGACAGACAAAGTAGTCTAGTCAGCATCCCCTGCAGCATTTGAACACCTTTACACAGCTGTGGAAGTGATAAGTAGTTTAATAGAGCCCATTTACTATCACTTCCAAAGATCAAATCCAGATCTTTGGAAGTATTTAGGTGCCCAACTTCTACAAATTCCAGTTTGGTGGTATCATTGAGAAACAGAGATTATATGGCAGCGAACAAGCTGCCTGCCAAGGTTAGAAGAGAGCAGTTGAATTCATGTAATTTGGTTACGATTTAGGAAAATTTTGTAATCAGATTATGAAAACAATGGCTCTGGGATCTTGGTTTGTTGGGGTTTTTTTTCCCTTTGGGTTTTGTTTTGTTTTTTTTAAATAAATTACATTTCTCTGCAATATAATTTCATATTATACCTATGCAGTAAGCACTATCGTCCTAGTTTACATTCTTGTTTTTTTCTAAGTTGTGACTGCTACACAGGTATTAAAGATCTTGAATGTGATCTCATATTGTGTTCCTCTTACAACAGAAAACCAAATTGCCCTACCTGGCAAATTTGCTATTTGGTCTTTGTAGAGAAGCTTGAAAATCCTTCCCCGGGTGCATGTAAGTCCCTTTCAGGCAAGTATCATTAAGCTACAGAAAATCTAAGCTTTAATTCTAAGAAAGATTTCTAACCTCTCTGAGTAATATGCACAAGTATAAATGAAGCAGTAGCTACAGGCTCTGCAAGAGTTTTGCCTTACATCTTATGCTGAAGAAGTGATGTAGTAAAAACTGACTGCAACTCAACTTAAGCCTCCATGCATAAGCATTTGAAGATTAAATAATCAATTCTTTATGTTGAACTAGATGATCTGACAGTAACAAGGTGATATTTTACATGGGCATCAAAGTATCCCAAGTCATTAGTGTATCTAAACTAGATTAGGATAATAATTGGAACTCCTCAATCGTATTTTCAAATTAACTTCAAAATGTTACTGGAACCTTGACACTTGACTTCTACAATTAAGTTCAAATTTGTCAAATAGTTTCAGAAAGTGGGTATTAAAAACCATTTTCCAAATTAGTTACCTGTATAACAGATGGCATTTCCTTAGGCTGAAAAATACGTAAAAATTCTAAAAATAAGAGCCCAGTATGTCAGAACATAGACATCAAGTGGATAAATCTGAGAGAAATCAAAGTGAACAACATAAGACGTCACATTTCCTACATATACATGCTCTAATTTTGGCACATTTTTTATCTCAAAATTCTACAGCGTACCAGTGGAAAAGTTACCCTTAATTTAGTCTAATTTTCTGTGACATGAAGCTATCAACTCAGTAAGTAACAGTAGCCACTAATTGTGTATGACCATGGTATGTTTAGATTGAGCATTGATTAGGAAGGCTAGACTGTGTAAAGTGACCAAGGTTAAGAAAGGGAAATTTGAACAAAATGAAATAGTAAAATCCACAATTAGAAAAAAAAAAAGCCAACACCCTAAAAAGTAAGAGTCTTCTGTTTCAAGAACAACTATGCTGAGTCAAAGCATCCATTTCACCTAGTATCTCATCACCAAAACAGGTCAATGACAGTTGCCTAAGAAAGAGTGTAAAACAATGACAATCCATCATCAGATTATTCTCCCCAACTGCAACAAGCTATAGCTGAGCAACTTCCTGAACCAGGGGCACTGCTCTTCTATTTAAGGTGCTATCCCTACAACCATAGGCAATATGGATGTTTTTAATAATATCTCACTGTTCTGCATGCTGCAGGTATGTCTAGAACTGGATTAACTGACATAGATCAACAGAAGGAGACTGAAAGACACTGGAAGACACTTCTCATGTCTTTTCTTCAGTATCTTGCTAGCACTTTCCATGGCAAAACCAAAACGGACTGGGTTTTCGGTAGTTATAAAGAGTAGGTACCTGCAGAGATGGCGATACCAAGGCAGTAAGGCTGAAGCGACCTGATCACTTCAGATCTAAGAGTTCAGAGAAAGCTCTTTTCATCAAGTACATAACTGAGG